ACACAGCATGTGACAGGCTATATTGCTGTGAACAAAAAAATGAAAGTTTTGCTGGTAAAGTGCTCATCTATGGAGAATGTTGCATATACCCAGGATGCATTTTTAAGAATGTTGCACAATAAAAATGTGGGATAGGCTAGCATCAGTGGGTTCATCAATCCTTCTAGAAATTCTGATATCATTAAAAGAGAGAAAGCAAAGAGGAGATGTGAAATGAAAAGAGTGAACAGATGAGAAGTTAAGAAAAGAAAAGAAAAAAAAAGAAAAGAAAAGAAAAAAATTAAATAAGGTGATACTGGAAAAAGATGAACACAATTTGTCACTACACAAAATTAAAGGCCTTCATACCCTTCCCTTTCAATAGGATTACTATGAGCTAAAAAAGTTAAGTATTCCAGGAAAATCCTCAAAATCAGCATTTAACGTCATTCTGTGTTCTCAACTTACCAAAATCTTGTCGCTGCTAAACTATCCCCCTCATTAACGTGGGGACATGTTGCTTGGACAAAACGCCATTCTTCTTGGAGGAAGTTCCGCTGCAAACCTGACGCATGAGGCTCGCGGTGTAACATGCACACAAACTGATCAAGCCACTCTAGATATACCTAGAAATTAAACGTTTATGCAACAGCAGTAACATTTTGCAGCAAGTAATAAAAAATGCTTCCATGTTTCAAGTCTGATCAGCATTTTTTAAAGAAAAGGTTAAAATTGATAAAAAAATATCATACTAAATTATACAACTACTCCTATTTCAATCTATTTGCCCAAAAACAATGTTTAAGTCATTAGGTACACACCTCTAACATTCTCTTTATATTAGCATCTAGCTCCTCAATTGCTTGAGTCTGGCGTAACTCTAAATTCTCTCGAAGTGGTGGAGAAAGACTGCCAAAGAGTGCATGGCAAGCCCTCAGGTACTTCTGCCTTACTACAACAGCAAACTTGACTCCTTCTTTGAACTCCCTCATAAGCTAAAAAATGCAAAGAGAAATTCATATTCATAGACGTATTAATCATACTCATCAACATTAATATCTGTACATATACAGTCACTGAACAAAAGACAGAGCTCTCTCCCATTTTGGAGAAGCATTTATTCTTGGGTATTAACTTTCAGATTCAGCATTTAGGGTGAGAGCTGTTGTTTGTGTCAGTGACTATACAAAGACATACAAACATATATGTACACACAAATATATAGACAAAGATACACAATCTAGGTTGATTAAAGTTCTTAAATTCAATTAATCAATTATCATCCTTTTACATATATCTAAAGTAAATTGAATACATACCTCCTTAATCAATTTGCAACTGAACGACGACAAGATATATGACACATCACAATCTAGGTTTAAAGTTCAAAAATTAATTAATTAATACTCATATCCTTATAATTGGTAGTTATCCCTGCAGAGCTCCGGCTTCAAGATAGCTAATCTCGTGTGAGCCTCATTTTTCTTATAGAAAGTTGGTTTATGTTGGCAGGATGATTTTGGTTGTAGGTAACATATGTTCATAAAATCTGTTTTTATATGGACATACACAGACTAGGTTGTAAACAATTATCATCCTTTTACATATATCTAAAGTAAATTGAATACATACCTCCTTAATACTAAGTCTAGATGGTTTTTCTGGCATCTGTTCAATCCTTAGCTTCAGGCACTCTCTCATCATCTGAAGTGACACTGACGCTAAAAAAATGAATGTTGCATAGAAAGGAGGAAGCTCCATCTTTTCAAACCTCGGAATCCAGGGTCCATATCTACTGAGTTCTTCTAAGTTTTCTGTTAATGCCATTGTTGGTATATCTGTTGCACTCTGAAAAAAGGGAATGTTTTTCAGAATGCTGAACTTAAACAGAATTATTGTATATTATGAGAGAGGAATTTATCATTTATGTTCCTTAATACATACATTTAAGAGAGGTTCTTCATAATTCCATTCATGTGCCCTGGACAATTCCTACACATTATTTAGCAGTTCTATTTGTCCTCACTTGTAAAATGGACTTCCTTTTCTCTGACTTATTTTCATGGTCTAAGAAGGCATGCAATTTAAAAGGTACTCAAGGTAAGGAGAAAATTGCATAATGGGCTGCCTAGTAAGATTTTGAACACAGAGAGAAGAGTGAAAAAAAAACTAATCCAAGTGATCCTCACTACATCCACTGTCCACTGTGATTTTTTTTCAACTTGTTTTTTTACACATAGATGGCTTCACTTGCACTATCATCAAGAAGTCACTCATTGGAGCATTCTTTTTTTTCAATTGCTATCATTATTGTTATTAAGGCTATCATCATTACTATCAAGATAATGTTAACAGCAGTAATAACAGTAGTCCAACTAAAAATGGAACTCCTAAATTTCTCTGGAATGGGCTAAAAAGGTGTAGCAAGTAAGTGATCTTTTCATATTTCATTTTTCATATATGATTCATCAGATTATACAGCTTTCCTATACCTGATTGTTAGGTATATGGTCAAGGTATTAATAAACAATTATCTTTTTAGACAAAAATCTTTGTACATAGTCCTATTAAACAACAGGAAAAACAAAAATCAAATACCTTTTGTTGCTTTGAGTCTCGTACAGAGTGATGGGGCTCTTCTAAAATGCATATGGTACGAGACATCACATCGCGAATAACCTCAGCTACTTTATCAAATGTCTTTTTCATGCCTTTGGTTCTCAAAAGTTTTTCTACATATTTTCTGTGAAGATGAGAAAGAGAAAATCAATAGACTTATAAGGAATATCTATGAAAGAAAACATTTATGCACTTATGTAAAGCAAACAAGAAATATCATATCACATCCTACAAATCTTGGTTTACCAAACCAGACAGATAACCCAAAGTAATGAAGCAATTCATATGGAAGTTAACCAAAGAAATGACCATCAAAGAATCATAACATAGAACCTAAGTCTCACCTGTAAGGGTTTGCTTCCACAAAAATGTCACTAAGACATCGCTTAAGTCCTCCTAGAGGAGGAACAGGTGCAGGAGGCATTAGCAGACCACTGTTGGTACTACCAGTGGTATGACCCGAATCCGTTGAATTATTTGAATCAGAGGGGTTTGAGCTAGCATCTGATTTATCACAGTCTATCACAAAACGTACAGATGCAGACTTATCTACATGTGTTTCTTTCTCTTGGGAGGGTTCATCATAGTGAGTGGTTTGCGGGACCCCTGAATCATAACTAGAAGTTGGTGTTGCAGCACCTGTAAAGCTGGTGCTGAAGGTAGGCCATGGAATGAGGGCTGAAGTCATGTTCCCAAGCAGTTTCCCAAGGACTTCAATCTTCATTCTCAACTGCACCGTTGCATTGTACCAAACACACAAAGCCATGTAACGATTGACAAAGTCAGCATGCTCCCACTCTGGAAAGTGGAGTGCCAGCTTTTTGGTTGAAGGAAATAGAGACTCCACATAGTCCAGTTTCTTCAATAGCTTTGCCACTTGAGTGAGTCCCTCAGTTTGTTTATCCATACATATTTTGCACCAGATGGAGAGACAACCACTGCAATCATCCTCTCCCCCAGCCATCTTACTAGACCCAACACCATCTGTAGAATCAGAGGTTGTTACGGGTATACCTTGGATCTTTAGCTCCCCTGCACTGAGGAGCTCATCAACAGTCACAATCTTTAAATCTGCTTCCTCTTGGTGTTTCTCGGTGCAGTTTGAATCAAAGGTAAAGTTGTGGACTTCAGTAATAACATCTAAAACCTGAGAAAGAAAGAAAGGAAGAGAAAATATTAGTTATCAAGTTACATTTTCTCAAAAGAAGATTCTGGGTAATTTAACAATATATTCTCATTTAATATGATTATTTTTACGAGACAAGGACAGAAGAAGGCAATGCAAGTTAAATAGAAATCTTTGATCTTGACATTGGACAGAACACTATGATTTTTCCAACTAATTAAACATAATGAAAGGAATATATATATATATATATATATATATATATATATATATATATATATATATATATATATAATAATATAATATATATATATATAATATATATATATATATATATATATATATATATATATATATATATATATATATATATATATATATATATATATATATATATATATATATATATATATATATATATATGTAAATTATTACCTGCTTTCTCTGATTAACTAAATAGATATCATAGGAATTTGAATCTTGACCTGCATGCCATGCTTGTAATTCTAGCCATAGCATCTCATGGAGCTCCTGCTGGTACAGGACTTCCTCTTCACTTCTCTGTTGATGAACAATTTTAGAATCAGTAAATTGCATTCTCTTTCATACCTACAGAAGCATCCTAAGAAAACCTGTGTGATCTAGCTATATTTACATAATTTTCATGTTCATACATCTATAAGCTAAAAGGCAAAGAAGATTCATACACTGTTCTTCAGTAACAAGATAAAAGTAACCATATGTAATTTGTTTTCAAGGGCAATAAGTGTAGATGTAGAAGATAAACAACAACAACAGAAGACTAAGTCTTTAGTCCAAAATATTAAAAATTTCCAAGAAAATGTAGTAACTTTAAAACTATATTCTTTATGAACCACATGCACATCCTCAGTGCTTAATTTCCCATGGTAACTTCAGTTCCTTACCTGGCGCTGATGGACTGGAGCTTCTTGTGTACTAGTTTTAATCAAACTTTGAAGTTTTGCAAAGTAACTTAAACGGTCTTGTGGACATTCAGCAGTAGAAACTTTACGACAACTGTCAGTTTGGTCTGCATCATCATCCTCGCTTAATCTACGGCTGGAGACACTCATGTAACGTGATCTTGAATCAACCTGAAATTATGCTTTATTACACTTAATTGAACATCTCTGAGGGTAATACACACATTGAAACTTAGCAGCCATTCTATTCTTATGTTAGTTAACATAATCTTTACCATTTTATGCTATATACTGGTTTAGATTACCTAAGATAAAATTCAAGTAATACACAAATATTTTACTATTAGAGCTTCAAAATAAACTAACAAAGTGCTAACTATCATTCTACATTACAAGACTATGAACAATTTTCAACATCTGCAATGTACCTTACATTCTCTCAATTCTTATATTTAAAAAAAAATTCTTATTAAGAAAGAAGCTTAATAAGCTACCCAAGCTTTCACATACCCTAACTGCAGCACAGTGTGGCGGCAAACTTTCGCATCGCTCATCATTGGCATCAGTTGCAGCTGCTGCATTCATGATAATTGACAGATTTTCAACTTCTGAGAGCTTCCACTCTCTCTCAAAGGTCCGCTGCCGATCCATGGATCTTTTGCGCTCCCTATACTGCCTCCTTGACCTTTCTGGAGCTGAGGTGAAGAAGCCAATAATTAATAAGTTGATCTAAACTTCACTTTCATGCCATCATTGAGTTTCTAAACTCTATCATTAATCAATTATAATGACTAAATCATAACTGAACCAAAAACTGGATATAACTAGGTTTACTGCCTAGTCAGTAACTCTGAATCATGAAAAAATATACAGTAACATTAATACCAAGTTGGAAAATTTAAAATATACTGAAAATAAACAAACAAATCAGAATTCCCTCATGATCTGAAAATAACAGTTATTTCAGTTCACTCTAACCAATGCAAATTACAGCAAGTTCAAAATAAATTATTAGCTTTTACTTTTACTCTCTATTAAATACTTTCGCATCTTGACTAAAAGTATTATGTGTACCATAGTTGTCTTCTTTCATTCATGCAGTGACCAACATAATGAGTAAATAGCTTATCACATCAATGTTTATGTTTAAGAACATGTAAAGCACATATTTTAACTGTAGAATACCTGCTCATTTATTATGTTGCTTAATTGCGTGGCTGATATTGAATCAGGTATTCAATGTACTCTTGACAAATTCTATAACTTAACTATAAAATGACAAAGGAAATATGCAACTGAATATTCGACATTTTTATAAATTCACTTCAACTCCATGACTGCAGGGAGCCAGAGACCCAATACGTAGGCTTAGTGACTACATCTGATTTCTGTAGTTCCTTGAACTTGCAAGATTTTCTTTTTCTAATGCTATCAATATCAATAGGTACTGCTATTATCATTATCCATAATATTATGATAATCATGTTATCAAAATACTACTAACAAAATACTTTAAAATCATCTTTCTAGAAATAAAAGAAAGTGGCAAATAGGTACAATAGCTTGGACTAATAATTGACCTCATGGTGATTAAGCACTTGTGGGCCAACTCTCTATACATACAATTAATAAAATAAAATTACACTGGATATGGCATGTATTCTCAACATCTGCAGTAATCAGTATTGTAGCAGGAGTCTTATTTAATGTGTACAGTGGTCATACTACTTATATGGGAGAAATATCATTAAAAATCTTGGAAGTTGAGCCTCTTACCTCAGGTCATACATGCATTACAAAAGTGACACTATTGCTGGGTCTGTCTCTTTAGCACCAGTGACTATATACTTGTATACTGAACACCAGCTATTACATATGATATAAAAAAGGAAATAGGGTCAATAACCATCAGCATATAATGGTACCTTTCTACAGTAAGGCTTCCATACTGGAAATGAAATTTTAATTCTTCTATGCACAATGAAACTTAAATAATTCACTTACAATTACACATGCTTACTGCCCCTCTCAATAAAACTGCAATAAGAGACAGGTTTTCTCATGTCATTCATAAAAAAGTAAAAATAATCATCCGAACACCAAAATCATTGCTCTATAAAATATTTGATCATCCAGTGATTTCCCAAAAATATTAAAAGTTCTGTGAATAATGCCAAGACATTAGTAATATCTATGGACTCACTTGCATCTCCAAAGCCATGTTCTGAGAATCCTGGGAGGGAGAGAAACCTTTCAGCCGTGTCACGACGTTTCAGGGTGGCTTTGATAGTCTTGGCTGCAACTTTTGCCTGAGAACTGCAACCAAGATAAGAAGTAAGAAATAAAAACAATATGTGTTTGATAAAATACCTGATAACATCAAATCAGTTTGAATTGAATGAAAAAGAAAGAAGGAAAGAAGTAGAGTATATACCTGATATTGATATTAAAGCTAAACAGAAAGAGAAAGAGAACACACACACACACACACACACACACACACACACACACACACACACACACACACACACACACACACACACACACCACACACACACACACACACACACACACACACACACACACACAGTGTTGCAGCCATATCAAGGATGTGTCCAATCAATCTCCTTGTTACTGATATCCTGTATTGTAAGGCCCTCTTTCTCTATCTTCTCATACTTCCTATTATTTAAATTTGTTCCCCAATTCAAATCAAGAAAGTGTATACAAGAAATAATCCAAAACACTATTTCCCTTGCACACACATACAATTTTTATTAATGACTATCATATATGCTCACTCACTCACTCACTCACTCTCACACACACTCACACACAAACACGCACACACGCACACCACGCACGGCACACTGTACGCGTCTCTCTGCGCTCTCTCATCTCTCTCTCTCTCTCTCTCCTCTCTTTCTCCTGCTCTCACCTCACTTTCTTTCACTATCTCACCTCAATTTCACTCTCTCTCATGCTCACTTTCTATCGCTCTCTCTCACGCTAACTTTCTTTCAACCTCTCCCACACTCAATTTCTTTTATTCTCTTCAGCTCACTTTCTTTCACTCACTTCACTCTTCTCACTCACTTACTTTCACTGTCTCACATGCTCACTTTCTTTCACTCTCTCTTGTGCTTACTTTCTTTCACTCTCTGTCATGCTCCCTTTCTCACTCACTCAATTTCTTTCATATTCTCTTATGCTCACTTTCTTTCACTCTCTCTCACTTTCTTTCACTCTCTCTTATGTTCACTTTCTTTCACTCTCTCCCTCACACTCAATTTCTTTCGCTCTCTCTTAAGCTTACTTACTTTCTCTCTCTCACTCGCACTCACTCTCTTTCATTCTCTCTAATGGTCACTTTATTTCACTCTCTCTCATGGTCACTTTCTTAGACTCTTTCTCACACTCATTTTTCTTCACTATCTCTCATGCTCACATTCTTTCACTCTCTCACACTCACTTTCTTTTACTCTCTAACACTCTCTTTCATTCCCTCTAACTCACATTCTTTCACTCTCTTACACTCATTTTCTTTTACTCTCTCTTACACTCACTTCCTTTCACACTCTTTTACACTCACTTTCTTTGACTCTTTCACACTCAATTTCTTTCCTTCCCTCTCACTCACTTTCTTTCACTCTCTCTCACACTCACTTTCTTTAACTCAAACTTTCACTCTCACATTTGCTATCTTTAACACACTCTCATACTCACTTTCTCTCTCTCTCTCTCTCAGATTTACTTTAACATACTCTTTCACACTCACATTCTCCCTTATCTTCACTCTCCCTTACATTCAATCCTTAATTACAGCAACTCACCAGTAGGCATCTCTTTCCTTCTGGCGACGGAGGCGATGAGTACGAGGCGGAGTCTTTCCATATTCCCCTAAGTAGCGAGCAAGTTCCTCCTCCTCCTGAGTGAAGGAGTCGAAACTTTCAAGTGTTTCTGCTTCTTCCGTTTCCTGCACGTCTTCACTGCCACTGCTGCTCCTATAAACCGATTATTGTCAGTTATGACACAAAAAGTAAAAGAATAATTTGTACACTTACACTTTCACATAAGATCATAAGAGACTTTGGCATCTTTCTAGGTTTAGAATCTCTTGAAAGCTTAACCTAAATATTCTAAACTCCATCAAAAATGTTACACAATCAATATAAATATTTTCCTACACCAAACTAAACAACTGGGTATAAAAATATAGTTTTCCTACTAATGATGCAGCAGTCATAATCACAGTTATATTCCTCTAAATGAGACATAGCAATGATGTTATATAGTCTGCAAAACACATTCGCACTTGCTAGAGACCAAGTCTCCAACTTCACGTCACAAATTCTATTTAACAATCTAAATTGCCGTGATTGGGTATACGCTTTGGGCACTGCCTGAGGGGAGGGATGATGGGGGCTGGGTGGTAACATCACAAACAGAGGAAAAAGATCATGGAAAGCTGTGCTTCCTACAATCTTTATCTTTTAATTTGATGCTATCGTTCCTATTTGCAGAATATTCTTTGTACTGCTGACTATAACTTTTTGCCCTCTACAAGACTATCACTTCACTTTATCCTAGCTTTGTGCACCTATACCATAAAGATTAACTCACACCTTAGTTATAAAAACAGTATTTTCTGTCAAATAAATAATTTTAACTTTATTCTATTACAAAACTGCATTTCATCATCACTCCTATAATACATTTTCAATTCACACTCACTAATCTAAAGAGGACCGTTGTTGTTACCTCATTAAAAACAAACTTCATTCACAACTGTTGGACTCTGAAGGAAAACAAACTAGTAATCAATAATCATGCATACTTGTAATTATAGCACAAACTATGACATGGCAACTTTATTATAATAAAACTAATAAATTCATGCATGGAATTCTGATGTACAACTTAACTCTACCACATCTGGTAATCACAGACTGATAAGGCTTATCTCATTAATGTGTGTCTCTTTTGACGGCCCAGCAAATTATATTATATGGCACAGTAGATAACAATATATATGTCCATAAACATTATTATTTCTGATTCTTTATTTGGCAGAGAATAGATCTTTTATTGTACCTTTTTCACATCACCAAAACCATTTGAACTTATCATGCTATCTCATTAAAACTAACAACTTTTCTTTTATAAATATTTTGGATCAGATTCTTAATAATGCTACTCATGATTTGCAAAAAGAAAATATAAATCATCTTAATTTCCATTATCACAGCAATCCTTATATCTCATGGTTATCATAAAGTGGTTTCAAAGATCGAGGTAAGGCTAGGCTCAGCTTGCCTAGGTTAGACATGGT